GGCATCAAAATAAATGCCGAATATTATCGCGAAAATATTTTAGAGGGTGTATTAAAGCCTTGACCACGCAAAAATTTTGGCCGCAGACACTGGACATTCCAACAGGACTCAGCACGCGCCACCCAAGAATAGTTACAAAATGAGGTTCCTCGATTCATTTTCAGCGCACAATGGTCACTAAAATCTCCGGATACCAATCCGCTGGGCTATTGTGTCTAGAATATTTTCTAAAGCAGAGTTGACACCGAAAAATGGCAAAGTGTCAATCACCTTAAGCAAGCGCTTTGCCGGGAATGGGCCAAAATACCGCAGTGCAACATTCGAGCAGCTTGTGACGGTTTTATTGGCCGTTTGAAGGACATAATTCGTGCCAAAGGTGACCAATTCGAACAATACCAAACTTATTCTAAAGTTTGATGCTATTTCCGACATTTTTGCTTTTATTCAATAAAAGTTAAAAAAAAAAATTAAAAATTATTTCGTTTGATTTTGTGCAGTTTTTATACCCTCCACCATACTATGGAGGGTATATTAATTTTGTCATTCCGTTTGTAACTCCTCGAAATACTCATGTCAGACCCAACAAAGTATATATATTCTTAATCAGCGTAAAATTCTCAAACGATTTAGCCATGTCCGTCTGTCTGTCTGTCCGTCTGTCTGTTGTAATCACGCTATCTTTCGAACAAATTGAGATAGAAGGCTAAAATTTTGCACACATGTATATTTTGCCAGTAGGCAGGTTAAGTTCGAAAATGGGCCATGTAGGTCCAAGTTATCATATAGCCCCCATATAATGGTACCTCCCGATATTAGATATTTTGATGATTTTAGCGACATTGTTCATCGGAATTGTTTCAAATATGGCATTTGAAGATCGTAATGAATTCTACATCCTAAGTCAAAAAAATGAGTCATGTTGATCCACGTCTTCATATAGTCCCGATATAACGGTACCTCCCGAAATTCGGTATTTTGATGATTTTAGCGACATTATTCCCCGGAATTGTTCCAAATTTGGTATTTGAAGTTCGCAATAGATACTGCAGCATAAAACAGAATTTTTAACGGATTTTATTTATTTATTTATTTATTTATTTTTTTTTTTTTTGTGGAAATTGCCAAATTTGTATCAAGTGGTGGAGGGTATTAAAAGTTCGGCCCGGCCGAACTTACAGCTTTTTTACTTGTTTTATCTCATCCTGTATAGTCCAAATTTGGCACATCTAAATCCGGTTAAGCTCAGATACGAAATAGGCAACATTGGCCCACTCCTTTTAACCCCCATAAAGGGTTAACAGTTTGAAAAATCATAACACAAGTCAAAGTATATTTAAATAAACGAGCAGTGTCTGAGGGTATACATTTGTCGGCATAACCGAGAGATACATTTTAAATGTTTGTTTAAATAATCTCAGATTTAAAGAAGTATACTTTGAAGGACAATTTTTTAAGATCTTCACTATGAACTTCGAAAGCAATTCGTTCAAGGACTGTCAGAGCTATAGGCATTTACTTTTAGGGCTATAAGCACTATATGCAAATAGGTCTGCCGACTTTATAAGGTGACTTTTGCAAGGACTATTTTTGATTAGGCTTTTTAGGATGACTTTTTCAGGGATATTCTGAGCTATCATTGTGCACCTTCTAAGACAAACAATATGCGTGGATTTTTAGAGGGGATAGTTTTCAAGGATTGCCAATGTAATGGTCTTGGAGTTTAAGGACGATTTTTTCAAGGTCTGTCAAGGTCAAAGTCGTGTGGCAATTCTTTCAAGGACTACCAGAGCAATAGGCGTTGTATTTTTAAAGAAGTTTCTTTTCAAGGATTGCCAAAGTTATGGGCTTAGATTTTTAGGACGATTTTTCAAGGACTGCCAAAGCCATATAGATATATTTTTAAATAATTTTTCAAGGTATTTATTTTTTCAGCACAATCAGAAATCAGATACAACATCAATCAGCGATATGTCCCGAGATAATGTGGTCGGACTTTTTTCAACGTTTTTCAAAAATTCTGGTTTAAAAGTGTTAGAACGATTGCTGAGATTTTTCAACGTCAATCAGAAAAAGTTGTTGAAATCTATAGAAACTTTAAGCTTGTTTCCAGATTAAAAAAAATTACTATGTGATACATGATCACTATCACAGAATCATTTATTCCTAGTCAGGTTCTGTTCAGGTTGTCCGCATATGTCCATTTCTTATTCTGTTCTCTCTTAGTGCTTTTGATGTTGAATGATGAAGTTGTAGGAGTTGTAGGAGGTGTCATAACCAAAGGCGAGAAAAAAAAAAAAAAACAAACAAAGATGTACCGGCTGGGACAGCCCTACACCTTCTACGTAAATCGAACTATCTTTACATAAAGTACCAGTTCTGGAAATTACTTCTTTCTGGAAAATGGTTGCTCCCGTAAGAGTTGTAGATATAATATCTAAGAAATTCAGACATTTTATTTCAAAACCAAGTTATTACCAATACGGCTTGTTCACATCTAAGAAAATAGATCTTTTTCTTTTTTGTAAATATATTTACAAAAGCTATAAACCAAAAAAAGGACTCCATCCCTGACATTTTTAAAGATTTGTATCATATGGCCGTCAAATTATTCAATTATGTTTTTGGTTAAAAAAAAAAAATATGAAAAGCAAGAAAAATATGATATCAACACAAGACAAAAAAAAGAAAAGGAAAAAAACTTAAAGTCCTTTACTGCATACAACCAGAATTCTTGGATTGCACACAATTGCGTACACCTTGAAAATACCAATACCACTTATTCCCGGATTGTGCCACATTAAATTGATAGCAAGCAGAATAGCGGCAATGGTATTAAAGCCAAGGGCAACAAGCAAATCCTAGAGGAGAATGGGGAAAAACACAAAAAGGAATCATGGCATGGATGAAATGCCAACAATTTATTGTATTCCCAGCCTTTTTTAAAGACCTAACATCAATTGCTGGGATACCAATAAAGCCAACGAGTCATCCATACAAACAGCCAGGCAATACATTCATTCAACCATCCATCCGTCGATTCAGAGTGAAGTATTGACATCATATGTTTATAAACATCACTGCACAGAGCCGAAAATACAATGACTTTTTTAACCATGTGCATGGTTAATTTTTTCATGGTAAATGTTTGAGATTACAAACACAAAATAACGTTATATAAGGTCAAATGTAGATGAAAAATAGTTTAATTAACGTTGTATAAGGTTGTTGTTTTTTGAGAGAGACGGAAAAATGTGAGAGATACATAAAAATTTAAAGAGCCTTCGGCTCTGTTGTGGTCGACAATTTTGAACTGCTTTGTGTTTGACGAAGTTCAATATTACAATATACGAAGTTGCAACGAATGTGACTGTCATATTCCCCCTCCTCCTCTTTATCGAATCTCTTTCTGTGGTCTGAATATGTGTAAGAAAGATCAAATAGACCAGGGCTAGGCAGAGAGCATCAAAAATTTTTTGTGATTGTATGTGTTTTGAAATAACAAAATATTGCAAGTGTTTTTTTGGCTCTCTTTGCACAGTGAGAAATATTTTGTTGGCTTTTTTTGATTTTTATATTTCAGGTTTCATAGCAACTTAAACTTTTCAACTCATTAAAAAAACGCTGTTATATTAAAACTATTAAATAAACTATAAATTATTTTGTAAGAGAATAGATAACACGAATGATGTAAAAAATATTTAAGGTGACGAAGTTTTATCAAATTATGGAAATGAAAATTATTAAAATAATGATAATAATATGAGTAATAACAAAATTATTAATTTAACGATGCATTATTCAAAATAAATATTTAAAGAAGACGTGTACATAAAGTGAATTATTATAGATTAAATGGAAGTTTTTTTATGGAATCTAAATTTAGTAAACAATTTTGTTGCTTCAGAAATACATTTAATCTTGAATTTACATTACTGGCTCAACTATTTCATCAATGTTTAATTGGTATGGACAACATTTAATGCGCAATAAATTTTCAATATGGTTATCTGTAAGGGAGTTCCTGGATTTACTTTTTATGATTTTTAAATAAGAAAATGTAGATTCACATAAATATGTGGACCCAAACATTGAATATATTTTCATAATTTCTCTTTTTATCTTTGGCTATTTCTCTGAATTAATTGCGTTTTCTCCCCAAAAACATGCAAAATTTCCAAAGAAAGTTCTTTGAAAAACATACCGTCAACAAATGGACGGCATTGTTTAGCTAATGCCGCAAATACAACAAAGGATGCTTTTCTTAGGAGGAATTCGTCATCAGAGGTTTTTGCTAATCTGTCCTCCTTATAATCCAAAATAAACCTTTCATAAAAAGGTTTTTTTAATTTGAGAATTAATGAAGTTTTTTCCTCGTCAGTAAAAGTACGATATTGTCCGTGACAGGATATATAATACCTTTTCAAATAATAAGGCATCGACCGAGATAACGTGCGTTGGCAAACCAAACATTCTAGTTTCCCAAAATAATTTTCGGCGAATAAAAATTCATATTCAATGTCCTCAGCCATTTTTTATGTGCAGAACAAAATGATATATAGAATCTTTCTTATTCACTATCGAAATGAAACTGAAAATATTTCTTTGTGTGACCAAATCAAAACCCAAATAAGTCCATGACCATCTTTGTCACACCTGTTTCAGAAATAAAAATTAAATATTCAAAAGTGTTGAAAAGTGCATTTGATTTGAACCAAATATTGCAAAGCCAATAAAAAATTCAATTAAAGAAGAAAAATCTTTAAAGCTTCCTGAAAATGTACATTTATGTACACAATTATTTCTTACGGTGCATTCATAAAAATATCCGACAGCACATTCCTCATCGACTGCTCGAACAATACTAAATATTCTCCCAAAACCATTTTGACAGAAAACTCAAAACAAGTTATTTTTTACAATTGTGTTGGTGAACACACAGACATCCCAAGGGATACTCTTTGCCTAGCCCTGAAATAGACAATCACTTCTTTAGTTGGTGTTGAATAGTGCAAGGGAGTAGTGCACGTGCTCGTGGGAATAGTGCTTGGTATAAAGGTAAGTAAAAGCTGGTGAAATTAACAAATATATTTGATTGTAATTTGTATTTGTTTTAATAGAAAACCCTGATACTATTTCAACATAGTAATGTGTTATTGCTATATTCAAATTGTATCAGATTTGTCTATCAAATAAACTATAAATTACAATAAAGAAACAAAACTAACGGTAATACATGAAAAAAACAAGCAACAACAACGTATATGCAGCGACAAGCAAAAATGAGGAGAGAAATAATGTGTGAGTGTTTATTCATACATATGTGTTCTTTTTGTCTTTGCTTGTGGCTGCTACGACGTACATTAGCGTATGCATTTGTCACCAAATGTACGTTGTTGTTGTTGTTGAAGCGACAGTGTTCATATTTATGGATATCTTTTTGTTTTTTCTTCTCAGTTGTTTTTTTCTCTGGTGTCTTTTTTTTTTTGGTGCTCGTGCGTACATTTTTGGTAAGTTGTGACAATACTATTTGATTTTATTAACTACTAGTTTCTTCTTCTGTTTTTGCAGTCGGTGTTTGGCGTTTTGTAGTTTTTTTCACAATGGCTGAGGAATATAATTTAAAGTCACTCGGTAAGGCGTTAAAAAATAAAATTTATATTAAACATATATCTTTCTTTACCAGCCCTCCCTTAAATATACATACAATTTGTAATGGAAATACATAATTTAGAAATATGCGGTATTAATAAATAAATAATAAATAAACTTGTAAAAATTAAATATTTCTTGTTTTATTCAAACAAAGGTTAATTTATTATTAAAAATTCTCATATGAACTGTTTAGACAAACTGACTATGAAATGTTATTATTAACAATTCTCATGGTTACAAAAATTTAACAGTGCATTGTTAAAACAACATTTTTTTTTCAATATCAACAATTTTCGTGGTTAAAAAAGTCAATCATGGAATAGCTAAATTAACGATGATTATTTTTAAATACCAGTCAACAAGAAAATGTTTAAATTAACCTTACATAACGTAGACTCCAAATCATGTTTATTTATGGTTAAGCTAACCTTGTATAAGGTTAATTTTTTTCTCTGTGTGGTATCCGGAGCCAACACAAACATGCACGTAAGGATATCGGCCATTCCCATACAAACATACATTTATTCCACTATTGACTGAATCCTGTCTCGATGTAACAACATTGAATAGTTGGCCTTTGTTTCAAGCTATTGGCTTAGTTTGAGATAGTGTGTGTGTGTGTGCATTTGTGTGTGTTCTATGGAAAACGAAGAGCAAAGAGAGCAGGTTGTAAAAAAAAAACCAACAAACAAACATGCATTATGCCTTGACAATGTTTGTAGTGTGTATGTGTATATAATAACATTCACATATATGCTTGTAAAGTCACAAACACCCATACACATATACATTTACATTGTATATTTTGTACGCTATTTCATTGTTGCAGGCACCTTTGGCGCCAATCGTAAACACCCCCACTTGTCTGGTAAACATGCCACACTGCAACAATAAAAACAATGCACATTACTAACACATTCACAATAGTGACGCTGCTGCCGCTGTCATGCATTGCCTTTTTAATGCGAATATTTCGTATATATGTATGTATGTACGTAAGTATTTAGTTCTTGTTTACTTTGTGCTTTTCATTCATTTTCATATCGTTCACTTTCTGTAGCCGGCATAATGATTGGAATATGAAAATTCAACACATCGAAAAAATGGGAAAAGACTCACACTCATTGGCATGTCGGGCAATGAAGATGAGTGGTCTTACATGCGAAAATTTTGGGGTGCTCTGAAGGTCCTCTATTAGTATAGTTTTTTTTTTTTTTACAAGAAGAGGTCTTCCACAAGAATTAAAACACTTTGAGGTTTCCTATAATAAGACCTTTTGGTCTTCCAAACGTAGGCCTGAAAGTTGTCTATAAAACATCATGGTCTTCTATAAGAAGAGGTCTTTGTCCACAAGAAGATCCTGAGGTCTTCTGTATGAAGACCTCGAGGTTTCCTATATGAAGATCTTGAGGTATCCTATAAAAAGACCTTGAGGACTTCTGTGAGAAGACCTTGAGGTTTCTTCTAACAAATGTCCCTGAGGTCTTCTGTGAGAAGACCTTAAGGTTTCTTCTAACAAAAGTCTTCTAAGTATTCTAGAAAAGTCCATGAGGTCTTTTATATGAAGAACTTGAAGTCAGAAGACCATGGTAGTTTCAAATGCAGGGCAATGATGTATATGTAGTTCATTGAATTTGTTAAATTGCGGTCAGGGGAAATGAATTTGCCGGAAAAAAATTACATATTATGTTATTTTATTTCACACCAGCAGAAGGGGGGGTTTTGGAAAGTCCTTGGGGTCTTCTGTGAGAAGACCTTGAGGTTTCTTCTAACAAAAGTCTTCTAAAAAAGTTCTTGAGGTCTTCTATAAGAAGACCTTGAAGTATTCTACTACAACAAGACCTTGAAGTCTCTTATAAGAAGATCTTAAGGTCTTCAATAAGACTGCCTTGAGGTCTTCTTTAAGAAGACCTTGAAGTCTTCTAAAAAAAGTCCTTGAGATCTACTACAACAAGACCTTGAAGTCTCCTATAAAAAGACCTTGAGGTTTCCTAGAAGAAGACCTTGAGGTCTTCCACAGGAAGAGGCCTTGAGGTCTTCCATAAGCAGAACTTGAGGTCTTCCACAAAAAAAGAGGTCTCCTATAATAAGACCTTGTTGTTTCCTCTAAAAATACCTTGAGGTCTTCCATAAGTAGGCCTTGAAGTTTTCTTTAAGACATCAAGGTCTTCTATAAGAAGAGGTCTTTTCCACAAGAAGATTTTTGGGTCTTCTATAAGTAGGCTTTGACGTTTTCCATAAGAAAACCTAGAGGTCTTCTATAAGAAGTCCTTAAGGTCTTAGAGGTATTCAAGTAGGATACTCTGAGCTCTTTAATATGAAGACCCTGAGGTCTGCAATGAGAAGACCCTAAAAAATTCAATGAGAAGATTCTGAAGTTTTCAACGAGAAGATCTTGTGGCCTTCAATAATAGGGCTCAGAGGTCATCAATGAGATGGCCCCGAGGTCTTCAATTAGAAGACCCAGAGGTTATCTCTGAGAAGACTCTGAGGTCTTTAATGAGAAAACCCTGAAGTTATCAATGAGAACACCATGAGGTCTTCAATGAGGAGACCTTGAGATCTTAAAAAAGAAGCCCCTGGGGTCACGGTGTGCAAATTGTGAAGGCTTAAAAACCGTGAGGTATTTAATTAAAAGACTCTAAGGTCTTCAAAGAGGAGACCCTAAAGTCCTCAAGTGGAAGACCCTAAGGTCTTTTGTGAGAAGACACCGATGAACTCTGGGTTTTCTCATTGAAGACCTCAGGGCCGCTAAGAAGACTTTTCGGTCTGCTCTTAGAAAGCTCTCTGAAAGGACTTGAGGTCTTCTGTGCCAAGTTGTTGAGGTCTCCCATAGAAGGTTTTGAGGTCTCCCATAGAAGATTTAGATTTCTTCCATGGAAGACTTTTTGGTTCTCTATGAGAGGGCTTTTATGGCTGCTCTGATGAGGCCTTTTTTCTGCTATTGGAACACCTTGTGATGTATTTTGGTTCTCTCAAATAATAAATTGGATTGTGGAAAGAACATATCTTCGCTCATATGAGCTGCCATTGTATTGATAAGCTTGTTTTTCAATATTGTTTTCAATCTGGTTAGCCTTTTTTTGGCCAAACTAAAAACAAACCAACACAAGGCAATAACGCCAACATCAATGCCAAAGATTCCGTTACAATAGTTAAGGTTGGATGGAAGGGTAAACGCCCCTTTTAGCCATCAAAACATGAAACATTGACAGGAAAAATACACCAAACCATTCGAGTACATCAATAACAACAACAATGGCAAGTACTAGCAGTAAACAACGGCCATTGTAATAACAACAAAAATAAAAACCATAGTTGCTGCTAAGCAAGAAAGAAATACATGGGCAGGGTATGAATAGGGTCTCTCACTCATAAGCGGAGGTGGAAATATGACTTACAGAAAAAATGTTATGGTTAAAAAGCATAACACAAGTGTTTGCCTTGGGCTAAGGACATCAATATTGATAAATCAGTCCTTGAAATATTACTAACAGAAATACAACCGCACACAACACACAAACGGGCACACGCACACCCACATTGCTTTCAGTTGTAACAACAAATTTACAAAGGAAGCGAATAAATAAACGAAATACCAATGGCTAAATGTGAAAATGTACATGAAGGAGAGGAGTTTGCAAAGACTGAGAGAGAGAGGGAGAGAGAGGAAAATACCCAGTCGTTTGGTATGGCTGCAGGTTGTTAAGGCGTGAGGCAACGTGTTTTTTATGTTTCACACAAATTCGAATGCTTCGATTGAACAGTGAATATGGCAACTTGGAAGGCGCCATAGGCAATAGCAAACCAAAAAAACAAAAAAAATCCTGATTTCCTTCCAAAAACGCATACCAACTTAGGGGAAGCGTTTAAGGTTCATTAATCCAAATATAGGTCACAGGCATTTTTCGGCTGTTGTTGGTGGCTTAATGTAAGCCTCTTAACTAAGGGAATTCCATAACAATAAAACTTTATTGATTCGAATGAGCACTTAGTTCAGCAATCATTTAGCGCTCATGGTAGTTGCAAATGCAGGGCAATGATGTACATATAATTCTATGAATGTGTTAAGTGGCGGTCAGGGGAAATGAATTTGCCGGAAAATAAAATTAAATTCTATGTTATTTTATTTAATGCCAGAAAAAGGGACACGTATGGAGTGGAGCAACATTTCTGTGCGATCTAGTTGCTCCTTAAGTTATTGTTCACTTTCAAAGCTGACTTAGGTGTCATTCGAATATTACGGTGTTACAAGTTTGAAGACCCTGTTCATCTTATATTCTTTGCAAAATGTTAAACAGTGTTATTTTATTGGCTATATCTGATATCTGGTACCATATATCATTCTTGTGGAGAACATATTACGAAAGTTAGGAACTTAAACACTCAATCGGATGAAAAATATATATGGGAGCTATATCTTGTCGGATGTACCAAACTTCAGGTCATTTGGTGCACAATTAACTCGATATCGGTTGATGATATATATGGGAGCTATGTCCAAATCAGAACTGATCTTTATAAAATTGAGCAGTGGTATTTATTTGCTATATCTGATATCTAGTACCATATATCATTTTTGTTGAGTGCATACTACGAATGTTAGGAACTTAAACACTAAATCCGATGAACAATATATATGGGAGCTATAGCTATACCTGGACCGATTTCCACTAAATTTAACGTACTTTCTTCTAAACTGAATTCAGTCGTCGGCTAATGAATGGAACCTGCATGTTGTTCACAAAAATACATGGACAGACTGACGAACTGACATGCATAAATAGACTCAGAAAGTGAATCTATGAAGATCCTCAAAAGTAAGTATGGGTCTACCTCGCTTCCTCCTCCTTGTTACAAACAAATTCACATATACATAATACCCTTACCACTATGTGGTGTGGGGTATGAAAATATGAACTTAGCTTTTATTATTTGATTATTGAACAAAATGTTTGTGAAAACATTTGCTCTGCATAAAAATCACCTTTTAATACAGCAAATATGCTGCTTAGTTGACCTGAACCATTCAAACAATCTTTGAACATTCCCTAACAAAAAATAAAAATAGTTTACAAACAAAAGAATAGAAGAACTTTTTCCAAACTATTTCAGGTGACCGCAAACAC